ATAAATAAAGTTTGTATGAAATTATTTTTTTACTAAATTTTTTGTATAAATCGTCATTTGGATTATTTGGAATAAAGGCGCTCTCACACCTTTTTGGCTGCCTGGAGGTTACCATGGCAACGCATAAGAGTGAGTGTGACAGAAAATTAAAAAAATTGAATATTCAAATTTTCTGCCTCACTCATACTCGTGCGTTGCCATGGTAACCTGCAGGCAGGTAGGCAGGCAGCTAAAAAGGTGTGAGTGCGCCATAACTGACATTTAAAAAAAAAAAAAATTATATGAGAAAGAAATTTTAGGTTATACAAACATTTTATTAATTAAATTTTTTAAGAAAATAAATTGGGTGAGTGATTAAAAATTGTGATCAATAAAAAATAGATGAAAGAAATAAATATTTTGTTGAAAAAATTTTTTAAAAAAACTGAGGCGCATGATTAAACCCCAAATTTGTTTTTTCGAATTTTTATTTTCTCGAAAATCGTTTTATCTAAAAGGAATTGACTATAATTTTTTGAATTCGAATCGTCAGATTATATATAATAAAAATACATTCGAATTATTATTTGACAGAATTTTTTAACTTCGAAAGGGGCCATTCATTAATTACGTAAGGGTCCTTAGGGGGAGGGGGGGTTTATAAAATCTCTACATGGTCTTACGTGGGGGGTGGGGGGTAGAAGCTAATCTTACGTAAGATTTTGCCTAGTATTTTCCATTTGTATTGATGTAATTAATTTTTTAATTACATTAATATTGTTAAAAACTTACGTAAAAAGGGGGAGGGGGGTCCGAAAAATCTTATGTATCCTTACATGGGGGTAGGGGGGGTCAAAATTAGCCAAAATCGTCCTTACGTAATTAATGAATGGCCCCAAAGAACATTTTTTATAATTTTCAATTTACCAAATAATCATTTCTCATAATTATTAATGCAACGAATTAGTATTTTTTATAATTTTTATTTTTTCTATTTTTAAAAGTTACCATTTGCTATTTTATATATAATTTTCATTTTACCGAATTGACATTTCACATAATTTCTAAATTTTCTAATTATTATTTTTCCGAATTTTAATTTTAACTAATTATTAATATTAGAATTATTTCTTTTACGAATTACCATTTTAAACATAATTTTAATTTCCCCTAATATTTATTTATTCTAATCTCTATTTTCCTTTTATGCCATAATCAGAATTTTACCGAATCTCCATTTGCTCTAACACATACTTTAATTAAAAAATTTAGAAATTATGTGAAATGGCAATTCGGTAAAATGAAAATTATATAATTTAGCAAATCGTAAATTTTAAAAATAGAAAATATATATATAAATTTGATAAATTACATTTTAGAACAAATAATTATTCGAAAAAATATTTATTATACAAAATGGTAATTCGAAGAAGAAAAAATTATAAAAAATGTTAATTATGTAAAATCAAAAATAGTATAAACTTTTATTTAGAAAAATAAAAATTATAAAAAATACTAATTCGCTACAATAATAATTATGAGAAATGATTATTCGATAAATTGAAAATTATAAAAAATATTCTTTCGAAGTTAAAAAATTCTGTCAAATAATAATTCGAAAATATTTTTATTATATAATCTGACGATTCGAATTCAAAAAATTATAGTCAATTCCTTTTAGATAAAACGATTTTCGAGATAATAAAAATTTGAAAAAACAAATTTGGTGTTAAATCATGCGTCTTAAAAAACTTCTTTTTTAATAAAATGTAATTTTTACTTTTATAATTTCGCTATTTATTCCTCACAGTTTTACTCAAAAAAATTTTTAATTAAAAATTATTTAAACTAATTTAATTTCAATGTTTTAAGAATAAAAATAAAATTTTTTTTTTCGATTCTAAAAATATTTTTTAAAAAAAATTGCAAGAACGAATGGAAAGGACTTTTAACATTATTTTTACGATTAACACACAAGAAGAAGATTAAAAAAAAAATAGTAATAATAATTATTCATTCGAGCATTAAATGAGTTTTAAATTATTCTTTATATAAGTTCCTCTCATCGCGAGCAGTACTTTTGTTTTATTCGTCAGAAGCAATAAAACCCTCATTCTCCTATTAAATGATTAAGAGTAACATGTATGTTTTATATGATACAATCATATATAATATTATAACAAAAAATACTTCCCTTACTTTGTGAAATGAAACTGCATATATTGCAATATGAGTCGCTTCTTTCACATATTTATATTGAAACAATGTACATAAGACTTATAAATATAAAATTACAAAAGTATCATCTGATATATTGTATATCTTCAAAAATATATATATACCAAATATTATTCAATAATATTCCATTTATATAATAACTATTTATAAAAAAAATATTTCAAAAAAAAAATAAGAAAAATTTGAATTTTATTTTTAAATTCAAAAAATGATAAAAATAAAAAATTTTCTAATGTGACACTAAATAAAGTAATAAAAATTCGAGTTCAAAAAAATTTCGGTATTACAATATAAATAAAAAAAAAGTTAAGTTAAAATTTTTTTACATTAAAAAAAAATAAAATAATTAATGTAAAGAAAGAAAATAAACAAAAATATATGAGATAATATAAGAAAATAGAGAAAGAAAAGAAAAAGGGAGAATAAAATATGGAATGTATTATGGAAAACGAAATTCCCATGAGTCAGTGACAATGCGACTATTTTGAATCAAGTACGCGAGCTTTAAAAATGCAAAGGAATGTGTATTTAAATAATGAATCATTTTATGAATAGAAATATAGAATTCATCTTTAAAAAATATTTTTTATTTTCATAAGTATATGAGATTTAATCGTTTTAATCAAATACTTTTTGGCATGTTTCCAAAATTTCCGGGTAAACTATATATATACAATAGGTATACAAAAACGACTGACTGTTTTTTTATTCCAATTAATTCCTAATTAGATTAAAAATAATTTAAATTGATTTTGATTTCCATTAATATTTATTTATTTATTTTATAAACAGGAAAAATATTATAGGTATAATAGTAGCTATTTTTAATAAGTTATTAAATTATTTATTTATTTATAATTATACACGAAGATATTTATAAATTATTTTTAATGATACGTAAATGAGAAGCAAATAAGCAATTTATTCGAATTAAAAATTTTGTCATAGTTTTTATTTTTAATTTTGATGATCAAAATAATTTCAGGCAAAAACTTAATCAAGTTTTACAAATTTTTTATTAAAAAATTTTTTTAAATAATAATTTTGGAAGAGTTGAAGTTGAAATTTTTAGAAATGATTGAATATCAAAAGATTTGATTAATTTTCAGATAATAATTAAATTTTACAGCGAACTAAAAATAATTTATTAAATAATTTTAGATAACATTTTTTAAAAGTAACTGAATTTTCAAAGATTTACAATTTAAATTTTAGAAATTAATTGAAGTTCAAGTGATTTTTAATTAAATTTTTATTGATGATTTCAATTACTAAAAAATTTATTAGAAATTGCATACAAAAATTACAATAATTTGAAAACTTTTTTAAGTTGAAAATGGTTTCAGATAGTTAAATTTTTGAAGAATATTTTAATAATTAATCATTAAAAATATTTTTGATTTCACGAGAGTTATAATTTAAATTATTAAATTTCAAAAAATTTTAGGTGTAAATTTTTAGAAATAATTAAATTTCAATTGATATTGAATTGAAATCTTGGAAAATAATTGAATTTTAGTTGATTTTACATTGAAAATTTTTAAAATAATTGAATTTTAGTTGATTTTGAATTGAAATTTTTGAATTTTAGTTGATTTTTAATTAAAAAATTTGAAAAAAATTCAATAATTTATTAGAAATTACACACAAAAATTTAACTTTAAAATTTTTTTCATTGCAAAATGCTTTTAGATAATTTAATTTTCGAAGAATATTATAAAAATCATTAAAAAAAATAATTAAAATTTTTGCAAATAATTAAATTTTAATTGATTTTGAATTAAACATTTTTGGTAATTTTATTTAGTAATTTTTTTAAAATTATAAACAATTATTAAATTTCATAAAAATTTTAATTGAAAAGTATTAGTTTAAGATAATTGAATTTGTGAAGAATTTCATTAAAATTATTAAAAATAATTAATTTAGTGAAGAATTTTAGTTACAAAATTTGTTAAATAATTGAAATAAAAAAGATCTGAAAAAGATTTGCATTGTATCCTAAAAAGACGTATTTTGTTTAAAAATTTTGTAGAAAAAAATTTTTTTTTAAAAGTCATAAAAGTCGCATATTATATACAAAGCTATGATTAACGATTTATAAAGAAATAATTTTTTAAAATGTTAAAATTCTATAATTTTTTTTCCTAAAAAATATTTTTTTTTTATATAATTTGTTGATTAATGAAAACTATAAAAAAAAATTTTTTAGGCGAAAAATTATAGAATTTTTCATTTTAAAAAATTATTTCTTCAAAAATCGTTTAGCATAAATGTTGCGTACTTCAGCTTCGTCTTTTTTTAAAAATAAGTCGAAAAAAGTCGTGTAATCCGAGGCATGTTATTTATTTATATTAATAATTTATTATTTTATAATAAAAAGAAGTAATAATTCAAATAAATCTATTATATAGTAAAAATAATAATAAGTGAAAAGATCAAAAAAAAATTTCTATACAAAATAAAATTTAAATACAATTTTTTATTGTAATACAGTTTTTGAAAAGATTTTTTCTTAAAATAATAAGATTAATTTCTTAATTTGAGAATAACATTATCCTTCTCTAACAGCATCCATTAAATTACCGTATATAAGCCAATTTGAAAATTACCCATAAAATACTAAAAAAAAAATTTATAGTTCCACAAGTATATATATAGTAATAAACATTAAACTCATTAGAAACATAATAACTCATTTCAGTTGTTTCTTAATAAAACAAAAAAGGAAAAAAAATGCAATATATTCAATACAGTGATCTAGTTTTAGATCTAAAACTTACAGTTGCAAAGTCAGACGGAATCCCGGTTTTCATCCCGTTAAAACCTATAACTTGGATGATTCCAGTGACGTATAAAACATATACACACAACTCTTTTCATGTGGAAAACCGGTTTCACCGAAAGTCACGATACACTCATCTCTTACATTCGGTCCTCACAATGTATAATAGAAGAAATTGGCACTCAGTTTAGATAATCCTAACAAGGATTTGTCAATATTCTTGAATATTGGTTTTGTGATTGAAAATATGCGGTGGTATATATATATGTAAAAAAGAAGTGTTTTATCACTTGACTATAATCTATATAAATGTATACACTTAAATCTGATCAGTAATAAAAGGAGGATGGAAAGAATAAAAAAAAATTAGAAAGTCTGACGGATATACTCCTTGAAACGTGTGGTTCGTAGGAAGCCGCAGTGGCAACTAATCCAGAGTGTTGGAGCGTGAGCATGAACAAACAGAGACGACGACGACGACGATATGAGAGCTATGTGCATGCTCCTCCAGTAACTGTGACTTTATATTCCTGAATCCTCTTGGTTTCATTCGAACCTTGGGACCCTTTGGAGGAAGATGAAAAAAAAACAACAAATTTATAACCCACGCCTCAGGTAATCGGAGGCGCAACACTACTCCTTGACCTTTGCCATTGCTCCATTTCCGATTTATTTTTATTGACCCTGAACCAGGACTTTGCTGCGATATACATCATGTAATATATATAAAATATATATATATATGTATTCGAAGAAAACTCCACAATCTTGATATTATTATGTTTTGTAAAGAAGAAGCAGTTCTTTCATCGTCTGTAAAATGTACAGGATCAGAATTTCTCAGGACCATCTAATAAAAAAAAAAATTAATTTTTAAATTTAATTTTTATTAGTTAATTAAACTAAGCTTCGAAAATTATTATAAACAAAAACGAATTCAATTTTCAAATCTGACACATTAAACATCGAGTTGAAAATTAGGACGCATAATAAAATTAATTTTGATAAAATTTTTATATTTGATTATAGAATTTTCTTTTAGTTGAATTTTTATTCGAATTATTTCATGAAATAATTTTTATTAAACAGATTTTTTTATAATATAGAATTTTCATAATAATCGAAAATTTACTTCACAGAATTTCTATACGATCGAATTTTTATTTGTCAGAATTTTTGTATTTATTCGAATTTTCATTTAACAGAAAAGAGCTATTCCGCACGTGAACTGATTATTTTTTTTGGTGTTAGCAATTTTTATGAAACTTTTTTTTCTTGTAAGTGAGAAAATGAAGATTCACAATAAGAAGATACAAGAATTTTGAATATTTTCAAAAATTTTTTGGAATTTTTGAAAATATTCAAAAATTGAAAATTCTCTTGTATTATATTTTTTAAATTGAGATAACTTTTGGTAGTTTTTAATATTTTTCAAAGTTTTGTTTTTGAATTTTTTTCAGAAATTGAAGTACTTTTTTAAAAAAAGTTTTTGAAAAAAAAATATTTTGTTGTTAATTTTTTTTCCAAACAATATTTAGTATTTAAAACTAATTTACTATACGAAATTGAAAAACAATCAATTATATAATAATAAAATGCTTGGTCTGTCCTTCTGTCCTAACTTGAAGTTGGCCTTTTCTGATTTCACGTGTCTTTTTGCATAGTAATCTTATGACGTGTCAAATTTTGACAATTCTTTTTCTCATTTTTGCCAAAGTTGTATAATTGTGTTTCCAAATTTCGGAATAAGTTTCTTTAAAATTCCAAATTCGAAAATTCAATTCACGAAGCTGAAGTACACAACGTTTACCAACAAAATTTTTTTTAAAGTTGTATATTGATTCAAAAATTGTATACAAATACAAAAAATTTATGATGAGAAAAAAGATGCACCAGGAAATTTCGTACAAGGTAGTAATTTGAAAAAAAATTATTTTTAAAAATTAATTTTTAAGGTACCAGGGGCTAACGAATACCTATTAAATATTAATTATAAAAACACAGGCCTCGAATCAACTTAAAGACACAAAAAGTCGTTTTAGTCGATTGATATTCCAAAAAAAAGTGGATTTGTTTTTTATTTTAACAAAAATATTTTACAGATTTTTAAATAAAAAAATTTTTTTTTAATAATAATCCTTTTGGAAGGGTTAAAGTTGAAATTTTTAGAAATAATTAAATTTCAAAAGATATTGTTAATTTTCAAACAATTATTAAATTTTACAGAACTAAAAATAATTTATCAAACAATTTTTGGAAAACATTTTTTAAATTTAATTGAATTTTCAAAGATTTAAAATTGAGATTTTTGAAATTAATTGAAACTTTAAGTGTTTTGTAATTAAAATTTTAGATGATTTCACTAAAAATTTATTAGAAAATGCGGACAAAATACAATAATTTAAAAATCATTTTTAATTGAAAAATGGTTTCAGATAGTTGAATTTTCAAAGAATATTATTAAAATAGTTAAAAATAATTGAATTTCCTTAGAGTTATAATTGAAATTATTAAATTTCAAAAAAAAAATTTCGATGGAAAATTTTAGAAATAATTAAATTTTAGATGCTTTTAAATTCAAATTATTGAAAATTCAATTAATTTTGAATTCAAATTTTCGAGAATAATTAAATTTTATTTGATTTTAAATTTGGAAAATAATTGAATTTCAGTTCATTTTGAATTGAAAATTTTGGGAAATAATTGAATTTTAATTGAAATTTTGGATAATAATTTAATTTAAGTTCATTTTTGATTGAAAATTTGGATAATTAATTTTGAATAGAAATTTTAGAAAATAATTGAATTTTATTTCATTTTAAACTGAAAACTTGGTAAATAATTAAATTTTAAATTGAAAATTTTTGATAATTATTGGATTTTTAATTGATTTTGAATTAAAATTTCGGGTAATAATTGAATTTTAGTTTATTTTGAATTGAAATTTTTAAAAAATAATTCAATTTTATTGTGATATTTTTTTTTAAATTATAAACAATTGTGAAATTTCATAAAAATTTTAATTGAAAAATAATTTTGATATAATTGATAATAATATAAATAATTTGTGATGTATTTCATTAAAATTATTAAAAATAATTAATTTAGTGAAGAATCATTTTAGTTCAAAATTTGTTAAATAATTGAATTGAAGAAGATCTGAAGAAGATCTACATTTTATACTAAAAAAATGTATTTTATTTACATTTTTTTTCAAATGTAAAAAAAAATGTATTTTATTAAAATAAGTCGATAAAAGTCGTATTTTTGAAAAAAGTCGGAAAAAGTCGTATAATCCGAGGCCTGTAAAACATATAATTTTCATTATTATCATTTAATATGTAATAATATTCTAATAAATTAAATTATTATTGATAATATTAATCTTTAATTTCTTTATAACAAACAATTAAATATTCAATTTGGCGCGCTTGCGCGCGTATAATTTTGCTAGTTCATTACATAATAATTTTTTAAATAAAGCTCGAAATTTTCAAAAACTAAAAATTTAAACTTCTGTCGCATTTTTTGTTATTTTTCATTTGAGATTTTTTTATACACTATTTTCATGATTCTGAACAATCAATGGTTGGGTAAAACGTACAGTGACCGACACACTGACAGTGAACGACACATTCTATTAAAAACGATAATAATATATTGAATTAAATATCACTAGTAAATTAATTAATATACGCTATTTAGAAACTGATACAGTTGACACAAAATTTTATATGTTTATATTTTCCTCAATATTTCACTTTCTATAAAACTAACCTCAAAAAATTATTGCTTTATTAATTACAAATTTTATAAATATGAAGAAATTGTTAAATAATTATATTTTAAAAGCAACTTTTTTTGTACATTAAATCTGAATAATAAAATTTGTGATATATCTTCTTTTTAAAGAATTTTATTAAATATAATTATTTTTTAGACGAATTTTCATTTTTCGAATTAGCATATTTAACAGATTTTTCTTTTTAAACAAATTTTTACTTTAAATTCGCGACAAAATATTTCTGTTGATTGTCTATTTGAAGATTCGTGCAAATAGAAATTTGGTGTTTTAAGAATTCTATCAAAAAATAAAAGAAAAATTGTAAATTATGTAAATAAAAATTCGAACAACTGAAGATTCGATTTATAAAATTAAATTTTGAACCATTAATTTTTATGAGAAATTTATTGATATTGAAAATTAATTTTTTCTCAAAAATATTGTTTTTTGAAGTTTATTAGATGACACACATATTTTTTTGTTTGGCTGAAAAAAATTTTTTTTACTAGTTATAATAAATTTAATTTTAAAGTCGAATTGTCGTTTATCTTAAAATTAATAAAAAAATTCTTTTAAGTGTGTTATAACTTTTTGATCAATTGGAATATTTCATTTTTTCTTTTTGGACCTGATGAAGTTTTCACTTTTCTTTAAAAATTCGGTAGAAAAATTAAAGAATATTAAAAAATAACCAAATTAATTTTTTTTTCTTCCATTAATTGTAATTGTAATTTTTTTACTTTTCATAAAATTGTTAGTAAATTTAACAACAAAAAATGTTTTTGTTTTATAATAATATTAAAATAACTATTTCGATTACACTATAGGTAATACAAAAAAAAAATTTTTTTTCGAGAAATATATTTTTTTTTAAATTTGAACTATTTAAAAAATTATAACATTGTTTAGTATAATAGAATAATATATTTAATTATATAATATTATATTCTATATAATATAACATTATTTAATGTTAATTATAAGTGAATAAAGAATCAGACTATTGACTATTGTACGTCTCTTATCAGAGAATAACTATGTACAGTCTTAATGAGAGACACGTGTGGGGACAATTTAATTAAGTACGTGATATTATTAGCACACTTGATCTCGCCGATTTCTTGATTTAATTTATATTACATATTATAATTTAACATTAAAAAGTATATTAAAAGCATTTTTTTAATGTGGAAAATAAAAAATAATATGAATGCTTCTTTCATTCAAAAAAAATTATCTCAATAACTCCATTGAATTTTAAATTATATATATTAATAAATTTGCAAAGCTGATAAAAATCCTGATTTGAAACAAATACTTTTTTTTTATTTAAATTAATTTTTTTATTTCACATCAAATTTTCCTAAATTTATTTTAATCAAATGTGCAAAATTTTTTATATTTATTTCTTGTCTTTCTTATTTATTAATTTCTATACTTTAACTTTTTTTTTGAAAAATTCTTTAATTTTTAAAAAAGTAAAGAAATTTGTTAATTTTATATATTTTTCAATTCAAATTTGCGAATATTTTCACTAACATTTTCATAATCAGCGCATCAAAATACATAAATGTAGGTAGTATAAAAAACCGAAAGTGTTTTTAAAATATTCAAAATTTTTAAAATTAAAAAGAAAATTGAAGGATACAGTTTTAAAAGTAAAATTTAAATTTTTAAATTAGCAAAAAAAAAAAAAAAGGATTTTATATAATAAAAATATATAGTATAAATTATTTCTAGGTATAAATAGGTCCTTAATGCAAATAAAATAATTTAAAAAAAAAAAAAACAGTAGATATTTATAAAAATTTGTTATAATTATTTATTGTAGTTACCTTCTTGACACGTATATATATATTGTATATATAATTTGATATTTCCGTAGAATAATTTTTCCGTTCTAAATAAATGTATGTATTTCTTGCACTTCGCACGTGTTCAGAAATACGTAACTGAAACGAAATTATACAATTAGTTCTCATGGTAGATATATTTATATTCATTGAGTAAAAAAAAATAATATCAACTGCAACAGATCTTTTTTATTTTAATTATTTAAAAAAAAATTTTAACTACAAAATTCTTTAAAATTAATTATTTTCAATAATTTTCATGAAATTATTCACAAATTTAATTATCTTAAACTATTTTTTAATTAAAAATGTTATATAAAAATTAATAATTGTTTAAAATTTTTTAAAAATACAATTATAAAAAATTTCAATTTAAAATCACTTAAAATTCAATTATTTTCGAATAATTTCAAATTAAAACCTTCTAAAATTTAATAATTTCAAATTGTAACTCTTTTGAAATTCAATTTTAATGATTTTATAATATTTTTTGAAAATTTTAATTATCTGAAAGAACTTTTCAATTAAAAAAAAATTTTAAACTTCATTTTTTGTCTATTATTTTCTAATAAATTCTTTAGCAACAGGAATCAACAAAAATTTCAATTGTAACTCGGAAAAAATTCAATTATTTTTAATAATTTTAATATTTCTTTAAAAATTCAATTATTTAAAAAAGTTTCAAATAAAAAATCTAAAATTGAATAATTATTGTTAAAAATTAAAAAAAAAAACTACAGCAGTTTAAATTTGCAGAAATTATTTAAAATCGTGTGCAATTAAATTATTTTTAAAAAAATTTAATTTAAAAATCTGTTAAACTTCATTATTAAAAAAAATTTTTTTTTACCATTAAAACTAAAAACTATGCCAAAATTTTAGATTCAAATAAATTGCTAAAATGAGAATTGAAGAAATTTTTAATTTCATTTTTAATTAATTTTTTTTTCTTTTTTAATAATATTTTTTTAGAAATTTGATTAAAATTTTGAAAAATTTGTCTTAGGACGATTCTGAAGTATTCGAAATAATTTTTTTTTTTTTTTTTTTTGATAATGTTTTTATATAATTATTCTTATTAAGGAATTAATAAAATGAATTTAATTTCTAATAACATTAGTTACTTAAAGTAAAATATTTATTAACTAATTAAATTTAATATTGTTATAAATGAAAATAAATAAGTAATTGAAATAAAAAAAAAGACTTCTTTTGTGTCTCAAAGTCGATCCAAGACCTATATTTTGATGATTTTTTATTCTTTTTAATGAACATTAAAATATTCTTAAAAAAAAAATTTCTTATTAAAAAAAGCAAGGTAAAAGAAATTTTATTAAATAATTTAAAAAAATTTCTTACAATTAAGTTTTAAAAAAAAGTTTTAATTATTATTAAAAGAAAATTATTGAGAAACTGATATCGGCGCCACTAAAATAACGAACATAATATATATTTATGAAATAAATTTATAAAATATTCTTGTCAAGAATAATCCCCTCTATTGATATGGCTCAATAAAAACAATTAATTAGCCAACTCTGTGGTCAATTGGTAATACAAAAGAATAATACAGAGAACAACTTTGCAATCAATTGCATATAATTTATTATATAACATAATTGTAACTTACAATAGTTTAATTATAAATTAAACAAAAAAAAATTTTTATTTAAATTATTTATAAATAATATAAATAAAAATTTCTTTTTGTAAAAATTAAATTTTTATTTTTAAAAAAATAAAAATTTAATTTTTCATTTTATTTACCATTATAATATTATTTAATACTTATTTGTAAAAGTTCATTGTTTATTGATAAAAAAAATTATACCTATATAGTCGAATTTAAAAATAAAATAAATACAATTTATGCAATTTATTACAATTGTCTTTTGCCCCTAATTATAGGCAAATCTAATTACAAACGTGAATTGAAAATATTTTCCCATAAATAAAAAAAAAATATATATGCAAAAGCATTATAAAACAATACTTGTTATAAATTACAAAGTAAAATTAATTAGAATTTTTCTTTTTATTTTTAATAAATATTCATTACGTTTAATAAAGATAAATTACAATTATTTTTATTTTAAATTCACCGCGCACGATTTATAATAAAGTAATGGGAATGACTACGCTGATAAATAGAAATCTTGATTATTGTTTTCACCGGAAGATGTTGTTTACTATAAAATTATAAATATTATTAAAAAAAATAAATAAATACATTAGACATTAAATTTGTTTAAATTAAATAAATAATTATTTTTTAAAATTTTAACTACAAAATTATAATATTTATTTTAATTATATTTTAGTTTGCATATAGCGTTTTATATCTGGTTTTACCATATTTCGGAATAATCGATAATTTATTTTTAAAGTATTTAATATATAAAATGTTAATTAAAATATTACTAATTATTAAAATAATAACAATTATAAAAATATTATATTTCATACTTGTATTTGCACAATTTTCACTTTTTCTTGAATTTTAAGGTTATGTTTTGCGTTCCTTTATATTTACTTTGACATTTATTTCAATAACTTCTATTGTTCAATAAATATCAGATCAATTATTAATTTCCTTATTTATTATAAAATAATTAATTAAATTCTTATAAAAATATAAAAATGGTCACAATAAAATGAAACCGGTAAATATTGACATTGACACAATGTAAAAATAATTCCAATGAATATTTATATTTTAAAACGTTTTATATTATTACTATTATTGACATTTAAAAAAAGAATTTGATCCTAAATTGTAAAATTAAGAGGAAAAAATAGAAATATAAAAGGAAGGGTTTCGTTGAAATGTGACACGTACCTGTTCGTTTAGTTGCTCAATTGATACAAATAGTACCGGAAATGACGCGCGTCTCTTCGTTACGTTTACATTCTATTCGGTTGCGTTCATCGTGGAAGCCATTACCCTCATCCGCGCTGGTCCGCGCTAAAGCATCGTGCCATATTCCCACAAGCATTTAAAAACTACCTTCGATTTTGTAGTTATAAGTGAAATATTATGCGAGTGAAAAACGAAATGGACGACGACGAAAAGGGGTAAGTGTTTTTTTTAAATGTTTATTATATCAATCTTGAAAAAAAATATCTTTCACATTAGAAATCGGTCGAGCGTTCCGGGAACCATTATATTTTAATATACACGAGAAATACAATATATTGCAATATAATTGTACAAAATTTCATCATTTATTTTGTTTTCTTTTTAATATTGTCTTGGGAAAATTGCATGTGAAGTATTTTTTTTTCCATAATCATTATTCGCCTACTGAGGATAATTAGACGCGTGTTTTTTTTTTTTTATTGTAAATTTGATCCGAGGTGTAAGATATTTTATTCTATTTATTTATTTTTTTTTTTTTTGTATAAAGGATAAAAAGTGCCGGTTTTTTCTTTTGATATAGAATTTTGTAAATTATTTAAACGCGTCTTGTGATTTTCAACAAGAATAGTAATATTCTTGACGCATTACTCATAATGGAGATTGGAGTTAGTTGAAGAAAATGCCGACTTCCCGTGCGTCCTTTTATTTCATCCTTCGTGGCGAGTCTGCTCTTTGCTCCAATCGGAGTTGCGATGTCGACAAAAGTATCCAATCGTTGTTGAGGTTCTGTTGCAGCATTTATAAAGAGATGAGAGAATATTGTGCATAAAGGAATGTTGATCTTAAAAGCCGGTGAATAGTGCCAGTTTGCCGGTATTTTATTGGTGTTTTGTCAAATGTTGAATTTTTATAATATCTTCTTTTTTTTTTATCTCATCTGAAATTATTCTATTTTCAAAATTTTTGTAATTCGATTTTTTTTTTTAGGTTATTGATTTTTAGTATTTCGAATTATTGCTCAATTTGTTTTTTTTTTAAATTATAGGTTTTTAAATAGCAATACTTAAAGATAAAAAATATAAATTTGTTTAAAAAAATAACATAGGTGACGTTTACGATCAACTATTTAAAATATTTTTCAATATCAATTATTTTATGTCAGATAATTTTTTTACATTTCTCGATCTTTTTGTTGAAAAAAAATATGTTGACAAAATTTTTTTATTTTTGATAATAAACGGTAAATTTAGAAACAAAATTCGGTGATTTGTTAAAATTTAGTGAAAAAAAAGTGTAGATAAATTAAAATTTTTTTTTTTTTTCGGTTTATAGAAAACTGTTCGTTGGTGGTTTGTCGTGGGAAACAACCCAAGAAAATTTGCAGCGTTATTTTAGCCGATATGGCGAGGTTATTGATTGTGTTGTAATGAAGAATAGCGAATCTGGTCGCAGTCGTGGCTTTGGATTTGTTACATTCAGCGATCCTGCTAATGTTTCCTTAGTATTGCAAAATGGACCGCATACACTTGATGGACGAACTGTAAGTTCAATATTCCTTTGTTTTCTTTTCTATCATGCATTCTTTCTTTTCTTTATATTTTTAGCATTTCTATAATAATTATTAGCTAAAAACTATTTTACTAAAAAAAAATATTTATAATTATTTTTTTAAAATTAGTAATTTAAAAAAAAATTTAACTTAAAATTTGAAAAATTGTTACACAAAATTTTGATTTTAATAAAAATATAAATAAAAATAGTTATGAAAATTTGTAATTTTTTTTTAAATTATTACTCTTTAAAAATTATGAGCCAAAAGTTTTGAACGTTCAAATGAAGAAAATATTTTTTTTCAATCTATAAATTATTAAAATTATGATTTCAATGTAAATTAAACAACTAGGGTAAGTGTACCAATTACGGCGCGTTCATAAAAAATAACTATTATTACTATTATCAGGGTGTCTAGCGGTCAGGCAAAAGTCAGGGAAATTTTTTTGTCAGGGGATAAAGTTAGGGAATGTCAGGAAATTTAATTAAAAGTCAGGGAATTTTTTAAAAATTTGCCAAAAATTAACATATTTATAAATTTTTAAAATTTTTCGGTTCAAGAAAAAGTTTATAATTCTAATAAATAAAATGTTTTTTATTATCTTAAAAGTACTTTAATATTTGATACTTTTCATTTTTTTAATATTAAATATTTATTTTCAAAAAATTGGAAAAAGGTTAGAAAAAAGTCAGGAAATTTTTTTTGTACTTCTTACTGGACACCCTGATTATATTTAATATAACTATTGCCAAATGATTAAAAAAAAATTATTTCAATCTTTTTTTGATACAATTATTTATAAAAATGCACATTTAAACAATTATTAATTTAATTATTTGAGGATCAAATTTTTTTCCCTCGCCGCAATTGGAACATTTTTAAGATTTCCATTAGCTCCAATTTCGGCGGGCAAAGTATCTTCAAAATACACGTAATTTTGGTCACCGAAATTGATACAAACGCACCGCAATAGAAAAATTACGGTATTAGTTTTAATTTCTCATATTTGTTTAAATAATCGATTTTTATAAAGTTAAACTTTTTTTTTATATATCTTAATAACATAAGCTTTTTAAAACAATATTTTACAATAAAATTCGTAATTAAAGAAGTTGCAAAAACAATTTTGTTCATTTGAACGTTCAAAACTTTTGGCTCATTAAAAATTAGTATTTTTTTTTTAAATAAATTCTCTTCAGGAAGATTTTCTGGATTAGATATTTAAATAATAATAAATATAAATAAATATCTAATCCAGAAAATCTTCCTGAAGAGAATTTATTTAAAAATTAATCATCTGGATGTACTATTTTTTTTTTAAATTATTATTCTATTAAAATTAGCAATTTTTAAAAAATTTAATTTGTAAAACTTTTGAAAAATTGTTCCATTAAAAAATTGATTTTAATAAAAATATAAATAAAACCTCCCTGAAGTTGGCATCGACGCTCAGCGTCGAAAATTATTTTTCATGGGTCTAAAAATATCAAATCATTTTTAAAAACATTTTTATTAAAATTATCAATTTTTAAAAAATTTAACTTGTTAAAATTTGAAAAATTGTTATACACTAAAATTGATTTTTATACAAAAAATAAATTTTTTTAAAATTATTAAAATTAGTAATTTTTAAAAATTTAACTCTTGTAAAATTATTACTCGAGTGATTTTTTAAAATTGAAAATTTGTCCCACTAAAAAATTGATTTTAATAAAAATGTTTTTTAAAAAAAAGTAATTTAAAAAAATTATTATTCTTAAAATCAGTGATTTTTTTAAAATGTACAAATTGATGTTTCTAAAAAAATTTAGATTGATCCGAAACCATGCAATCCACGCACTTTGCAAAAACCAAAACGCAGTGGAGGATTTCCTAAAGTGTTTCTCGGTGGTTTACCAAGTAACGTTACTGAAACAGATTTAAGATCTTTCTTCACTCGCTTCGGCAAGGTCATGGAAGTTGTCATCATGTACGATCAAGAGAAAAAGAAATCAAGGGGTAAGAATTTACATTTTTTTTTTTATTTGAACAAATTCAATGTTATCTGATCCAATTGTGATAAATAATTAATTTCAATAAAATCAATGTTAATAAAAAAAAAATTAAATTAATATTAATTAAAAATAAATTAAATTAATGTTAAATTAATACAAAAAATATAAAAAATAATAATAATAAATAAATTAATAAATACTTAACAAAATTCGAAATGATTTAAATAATTTTAAAGATAAATTTATTATTTTTTGTGTCACAAGTGGATTAGATTACAGGTAGTATTTTATTATATTTATATATTCTCTATGAAATCTATTGACTTGGTATATTTAAAATTAAAATGCAATCAATACTGTTAATGCAGTCGTTATACAATTTCAAATATTGTATAAGCTGCATTAGCTTCTTTTTTTTGTATGAATTATTGATCGCTACCAAATCTTTATCTTATGCATATAAGTTTTAAGATAGTTAAAATTACATTTAAAAAAAAATATATGTTTGTAATATTTTAAATTTAATTCTACGAGATTATGTTTTCTTTTAATAATTAACTCTAGAATATTACACTAATTATTTATATCCAGATTTGTTTTCATTATAATATAAGAATGCGATTTATTATTAAGATTATTAATAATTTCATTATTTGATAATTTAATTGAAAAAAAAAAAAAAAAATTCACTCCGATAAAGGGGGCTTTAAGCGTTTATAATCAAGGGTCTCGTAGGTGAATGTTTTTTTTTTACTAGATTATAATTTTGGTCAACAATTTTGTTTTGTATTTTTTCATAAAAAAAAATATTTTGCTTTGACAATGGAAATTTATTTAAAAATTAATATTTATATGAAATAATTTGCATATTTACATGTAAATAACTATTTTTTTTTCTAAATTTTAATTATTTAGAAGAAAAAAAAATTGGATAGAAAAATTTGCCTACGATATCCTTAATGTAAATATTATATAGGATTTTTCTATCATACTTTTGAAGATTTTCGGTAGATTTAATAATTTTTCGTATCTAATATGAAAATAAAAAATCTTTACTTAAATCTATTTGAAAATTTGTTTGACAAAAAGTTTGTTAGAAATTCTTTTTTGCGACTTGTAAATATCTTTGTAAAATTAATATAGAAGTAATTTACACTGAATTACATCACATTACGTAATTTGCGTTTTGTACTAAGTATATAGCTTAAATCTCAAATTAGGCTCTTTGCTTGTTTCAAATTTTTACATACTTAGCTTAAAAACAATTAAATATTGTAATATTTGTAAATTTTATTTGGCTTTCAATAGATAAAACTCCTTAGAAACTATTTTTCTTTTTAAAATTTAAATTTACAAAAAAAATTTTTTTTACACTTTTTGAAATATTTTCTACAAAGGCAAAGAATTTATTATTTCGGTTAATAATTTTCTAATTAGTTAATTAATAATTTTAATTTAAATTTAAATTTACAAAAATTTAGAATTAATAAAATTAATTTCAATTTTAAATATATGCAAAAAAGTAATGTATGTAATTTCGTTAACAATCTGGATATGCGTGTGTATATTAAATTTTTTCTGTTTTGTTTTTTTTACTGATTTAATTTTTAATAATTTTAGTTTCTTAATTTTAGATATATAATTATATCATGCTTAATTATATACATGAATAATAATTATTGGGTTAAGAAAGTAGAATTTAAGAAAACAATTTTCTACGTCGAGATTTAAAAAAAAAAGAGAAAAGAAAAATGAGCGAAACATTTGTGAGAAATTCTATTTATTCCCCTCTCACAAATTGAATTATTTAAGATTTTATTTAAAATGGATGGAAAATCTCGTTGGGTATTATGTTAAACAATATGTTACGTTTGGACGACAGGATTTGGATTTCTCAGCTTTGAAGATAAGGATTCTGTTGAACGTTGCGTTGCTGAGCATTTCGTCAATCTGAATGGAAAACAGGTATAGCATAAAATTATTTATAAGTTGAAGGTTTCACATATATTTATATATATACAATACTTTTTTGCGAAAATACTGGATATTATGAAATATGATCGTTATACTGTATTTTTATAAAATAAGTTAGGCTTAACAAAAAAAAATAAATAAATAAATTGTAATATATTTATTAACATAAAAAATAGATATATGTAAAATTTAAAGAGAAAAACAAACTAAAAATGAAGCGCTTTATGAACGTGACACAAAAACTTATTTTTGTAAATTAAAAATACTTTATTTAAGTATTTTTAATTAAAATTATATATTTTTAAAGCTGAAATTTTACATTTTCTAGATAAATGTAATATAGTGACGTAAATGTTTAGTTGAAAAAAAAATTCTTTTTAGTATAAATGTAAATTCTATTATTAATTAATATAATTATCGATTTAATTTATAATAATATATATTTAAAAATTAGAATATTTTAGTAATATAAAATCGAGTTAGGTTTAATTTACTTAGATACCTTTTATAGTAATTATTATTATTATTATTATTATTATTATTATTATTATAATTATCTATGTAGAGTAAAAAATCTAACATTTATCATTATTATTATATAAGCTTTTATGTTACATATTTCTAGTTAACTTTATATATACTTCGTCGCAAAAATAATGCAATTTTTTATATACAGGGTGAATAGTTATTAAGCGCTTTTATTCATTTTTTGCCTTATTACTTTTTATAGTGTTGTATTTCGATCTTAATTTCTTTTATTCCAAATGATTTTGTTTTCAATTTTTTTTTTTTTTTTATTCAAGTTAATATTTTTAAAAAAATGAACATTTAATGTTCACTTTTATTTATTACAGCAATTTGTTTTTTAAATTTTATTTCTAACGAAAATTTTTTATTTAAGGACGTTTATAATCGGCAATGTTGTCCTAAAAAAAATATTTCTTTGACATTTAAAAAATTTAAATATTAGTAATTATTTATTTTTATTTATTTATCAAACTAAAAAATGATTTTTCACAGAAAAATATATATTAAAAATTAATTACACAAAATTTTAAAAAATTTAGTTGTACAATTTTAAAAAAAAGTATTTTGAGTCAAAATTTATTGCCGAATAATAATTATTTAACATTTTTTTTTTTTTTTAATTATGTAGCAATTAATAATTTAAAAAAAAATTTAAAGTAGCGAGTTGAAGAAAATTTTGATTACATTATGCAAAATTAATAAGTAAATAATATTTGCAAGTTTACGATTTTTTTTCACAAAATTTAGTATTTGTTCTTCTAGCGGATATTAATATTTTAATTTTCTAAATGTCATAATTTTTTTTTTTCTAGAGATCTGCATTCCCGAGTATAAAGGTCCTTAAACTTTATAATAATTTTATTTTACATATAACAATAAAAGTATAAAATATTGTAAATTTTAAACAGTGAAAACTGAATTCTTTTTTTAATGAGAAAATTTCAAGTTCGTATCAGTTTGATAAATTATATTTTTGTTGGGCCCAAAAATCTTTTTCGACATATTTTTCAAGATTTAAAATAATAATTTGTTTTCAATTCAAATTAGAAACATTTTATTTTTCATAAAAATTGTTTTTTTTTAAATAATAAAAGATACAAATGTCGAAAAATGATTTAGTCCTACATAAAAAAAAAGAAAAAAAAATTCGATCTCTAATATAGAAAAATATTAGAGTACAATATTATTTGTTTGCAATTGATTTTTCTATAGGAAAAATATTGACTGCTTGATTTCAGGTTGAGATTAAACAAGCTGAACCACGAGACTCGTCCAGCAAGATGAATGACGGTCATCAAGGACAATGGGGTCCACCGCAACAAGGTGGACCGCCAATGGGCATGGCTGGGAATATGGGACCCATGGGTGGACCTAATGGACAAATGGGAGGACCAATGATGGGTGGACCAATGGGTCCACCAGGCAACATGATGCAACAATATCAAGGTTGGGGAACAAGTCCTCAAGCTGGTGGTTATGCTGGTTATAGTACTCAGTACAACACTCAAGGTTGGGGAGCTCCACCTGGACCACCTCAACAACAGCAAATGCCGCCACCGCCTCCTCAATGGGGCAGTAGCTACAATGTACAACCAACAGCTGCTACACAAGGTTATGGAAATTATGGTGAGTTTTCTTCTTCTTTTAATTAATCTTTAATTTTATTTTACTTTCTCTTTTTGAGCTTTCTTTCTTTTTTTTAATTTAATATTAATTATTTTCATTATTATAACAAGTTTTCGACACAGGCTCATATTTTTGTCTATAGTTAAAGTGCTTTCCTCCCCCAAAAAATTGAGTCCGTGACAAGTAAAGATCCCCATTAGCCCCATGAAACATAAAAATTATCCCGAGGGTCAGAATTCACAAGTTATTTACCCCTCGTGTAATATTTAAAAAAAAACAAATTTAAAATATGAAAAAATTGATTTAAGCTCAGAAATGCTGAAAAATAATTTTTTTTTTTTAACATTTCTAAACTTATATTTATTTATAGGACACAAAATAATAGATTTTTATTTTTTCTCCAAATTATTTAATTGACCCAAGCTTGAATTTACAAATTTTTTTTTTATTATTTTAAAAAATTATTTAGGCCAAATTTCAATTAAAATTTCAATTTAAATAGCTTCAATTTTCAATAAATTCTAATTTTTATTTGTCCTTAAATTTAAGGGAAGGGGATCAGTGAAATTTCAACTCATCGAAATTAATGTTGTTATTAAAGGGTGTCAATTTTTTTTCTGCCATTATTTTGGATCTAAAATTATTGTGAATTATCAAAATTTAAAAAAAAAATTTTTTTTGACTATTTTCAAAATTTTATTTTTTGAAAATATTAAAAATTTTCTAAAAATCCATACGATTGATTGTTCAGAATCATGAAAAAAGCTTACAAAAAAATTATTGATAAAAAATAATAAAAATTGTAGAAGAAGTTGCATTTTTAAGGAATAATTTGGTCAAATTGTAACTAAACATAATTTGGTTTGGTTTAGGGGTAACAATTTTTTTTTTTTACAAAATTTTTTAGAACCTGAAATCATATTTCACTATGAAAAATGAAAAAAAAAGTTATTTTTAACAAATTTTGCATTTTTTTTATTTTTCAAAATCCATACGTTTGATTGTTCAGAATCTTGAAAAAAGTGTATAAAAAAATCAGCAAAGAAAAATAATAAAAATTATGACAGAAGTTTAAATTTTTAGTTTTTGAATTTTCAAAAAGTTTACAATGCAAATATTTGGAAAGAAAAAATAAATATAAAACATTGAGTTGAACGATTACTCCTAGTCAAGTTTGAAGTAAGAAAAAAAAAATTTATTTCAAACTTGACTCGGAGTGATCGTTCAACTCAATGTTTTATATTTTAACTAAGGCGACCGAGTGAAAAATTCAATTAGATACTTAATAATAATAATAATAAAATATTGATAAGAAATTAAAAATATGGACTTATTGTGACATTTATTTATAAGGTAAATTGAAAGAAGCTACTTTTTGATGTTTTAAAATCGATTCGCCGCGTATATTGCATAAAAAAAACCTATACCAAAATTTTACAATAATTCTATGAGTGAAAAATTATGCATTAAATTGAAATTTGAAAGAAAAGTTAAACCAACAGTCAAAGTAAAAATTATTTCAATTTCATAGTTTCTTATTTTTGAATAAAAGAAAAAAAATTTTGTGGCTACCTTTGAAATAATCAGGCCTCGAATTATACGACTTTTTCGACTATTTTCGACTTTTTTTCAAAAATATGACTTTTTTCGAACTTATTTTAATAAAATGCGACTATGTCGACTATTTTTTCCATTTTTTTAAAAAAATTTTTTAAATAAAGTATATTTTTTCTAGTATCAAATGCAGATCTTCTTTAGATCTTATTCATTTTAATTATTTTACAAATTTTTAACTAAAATTCTTCACAAAATTAATTATTTTTAATAATTTTAATGAAATTCATCACAAATTCAATTATTTCAAAATTATTTTTCAATTAAAATTTTTATGAAATTTAACAATTGTTTATAATTTTAAAAAAATATCAAATAAAATTGACAAAAATTTTTAATTCAAAATCATGAATCAATTCAAAATCAAATAGAATTCAATTATTACCCAAAATTTCAATTCAAAATCAATTAAAAAAAAAAAAATAAATAATTATCCAAAATTCTGTAAAATTTAATTATTGTCTGAAAATTAACAAAATTTAATTTAATTTAAAAATCTGTAAAATATTTTTGTTAAAATAAAAAAAATCGACTTTTTCGACTTTTTTTGGAATGTAAATCGACTAAAACGATTTTTTTTTGTGCCTTTAAGAGCATTTGAACTATCGTGACGTCACAAATCATGGCGCATGACACGCAAACTTCTCAGCTATTGAAAAACCCCATTTTTTAATATTTTTTAAAAAAACCTTTTGGAAAATGTTCAGAATAACATAGACTCTGTCTGTTATGTGCGGAAAATTCAAAATTTTGCGTTTAAAACGTTTTTTAAACAATGTTTAAGTTGTTTGTCACAAGTAAGGAAAAATACACGAATTGCTTATATGTAGGCCCTTTTTTGGAAAGACCAGGATAAAAATTGGAAAATTCTTATGTAATTTATCAAATATTTAAATTAATTTTATTATAAATAATAATTAAAATTGTTTATTACTAATTAAACAATAAATTGTTGTTGTCTATTTTTTTTAAAAAAAAAACATACAAAAATTCAGTTTTTTCCTAATTTTACTATTTGCAAATTTCAAAGTTGTGAAAAATACTTGTTTAAAAATTGAATTATTCTTCAATTTTTTAAATAAATAATTATTTAATACATCTTATGTTTTTTTCAAAAAACCCCTGAAAAAACAGTTTTTTCCTAATTTTGAAATTTACCAATTTAAAAATTGTGAAACGTAATATTTAAAAATTGAATTAGTTTTTAATTTTTTAAATCAATAATTATTCTTTTTTATTAAAAAAACACATATAAATTGCATTTTTCAAAAAGCAGTTTTTGGAGAATTTTTCAAATTACTTATCTCAATGTTGTAAAAAATAATGGTTAAAAAGGAGATTATTCTTCAATTTTTTAAATAAATAATTATTGTTTTTCATATAATTTTTTCAAAAAGTTCATATAAAAAAGCAATTTTTTGACAATTTTTTAAATTACTCATCTCAATATTGTAAAAAAAAGAGATTAAATTTCAAATTGTATTTCAATTTTTCAAATAATTAATTATTGTTTTTTATCTTTTTTTCAAAGGAGAACATATTATAAAATAGCATGTTTTTTAGAATTTTTAAAATTGCTCATCTCAATGTTGTACAAAAGGTTGAAAATCCAATTATTTTCAATTTTTTAAATAAATAATTATTGTTTTTTTATGTACTTTTTTCAAAAAGCACATATAAAAAAGCAATTTTTTGAGAATTTTTTAAATTACTCATCTCAATGTTTTAAAAAAAGGTTGAAAATTCAATCATTTTTCAATTTTTTAAATAAAAAACAATAATTATTTTAGTTGAAAAATTGAAAAATAAATTGGTTTTTTGGCCTTTATTTTTTACAAAATTGAGATGAATAATTTAGAAAGCTGTGAAAAAAATGCTTTCTTATATGTGCTTTTTGAAAAAAGTAAATAAACAACAACAATTTATTGTTTAATTAGTAATAAACAATTTTAATTATTATTTATAATAAAATTAATTTAAATATTTGATAAATTACATAAGAATTTTCCAATTTTTATCCTGGTTTTTTCCGAACAAGGGCCTACATATAAGCAATTCGTGTATTTTTCCTTACTTGTGACAACCAACTTAAATTTTCCTCACATAACAGACAGAGTCTATGTTATTCTGAATATTTTCCAAAAGGTTTTTTTTTTAAATATTCAAAATTGTACTTTTCCAATACCTGAGAAGTTTGCGTGTCATGCGCCATGATTTGTGACGTCACGAAGGTTCAAATGCTCTTAAGTCAATCCAAGGCCTGGAAATGTAAAGAATTTAATGATTAAAAATGTTAAAAATAAATTTTTTTTTACAATTTCTATAATTAATAATAATAATTGAATTTTTTTTTTCAATTTGCTAATATTAAGTTGAAGTAATTTTGTTCCGATTGTTGGTCCAATTCTAACATACATATATCAACTCGCGGGATATATTTAAGTGAGGGGTTTTACATACTTGACACGGGCTCAATTCTTCACTTAATTTTCAGTTGATATTGAAAAATACACTGGATTGTCAGAGACATGGGAAATCGAGGAGTGGAAAAATAGTCCTAGTAATAGTGTGAAAAAATCTAAAAAACATAGAAAAATCAATTATCTCGCTAAAATATTAGAAAATAATGCCGTGACTTCAACTGCAAGTGAATTTCACTTTCCTTCTGAATACAAGAGAAATAGTGTGAAAAGTTCTAAAAAATTTAGAAAACTTAAAAAAATTAATGAAAATGATAAAACAGTAAAAAATAATATCATGATTTCAAATGCAAATGAAGATAGCTTTTCTAACAAATGGAAATTTATATCTATTTTTGTTTTAATAATTTTGTTCGGTTTTCCCTTATCTTTTAACTATTTAATGTATGCGTTGACATCAATTATTATTGTCGCTAGTTTTAGGGATTAGTGAAAAAAAAATTTATTTTTATATATATATTATTCTCAATGATATTTTTTCAATAAATTTTGTTTTTATCTACAGTTTAATAAACAATAATTTTAATTACAATGTTTAAAAAAACATTATTTCACCTATTAAAATTTATAATCCTTTAAGTTTTAGGGTAAAAGTAATTTTATTTTTAAACTGGGAAAAGTTGGGAAATTTTAAAATAGAAATACTGTGGCAACCCTGAGTGGTACGAGTAAAAAAAAAATTTTTTTTTTCTTTCTTGAGACAAATTTATCAAACGCTGAGAATGACAAAAACATGAAGTTTATTTCCTTCTTTTACTCCAAAAGAGTCATATTTTTTTTCCGTTTATCCAGTACATTTTTTTTTTATAAACATTGTTATTTATCAATGTTTTAATTTTTTTAACCAATTAAAAAATTTATTTGAAAAATTTAATTTATTGTAAATTTATACAATTTTGAGTTTCTTTGTTGGAAACTTAAAAAGGAATCTTTATATATGTATCCATTTTTAATACTTTCGTCTCAGTTATAATTGACAATGTTTTTCAAGATGAATGATTTCATTTAATTATTATTTATTTGAAACGAATTTAAGGAGAGAGGAGAGGGTTTTTTTTTTTTTTTTTTTTTTTTATTTAATCAAAATATTATTTCAGTGATATTAGATTAATCTTTACTAATTAATAAATAATGTAACTAAAATTGAATTTCTACTTAAATAGATGAGAATTGATAATTTTAATTGAAGACTTTTGGCCTTTTCCTCTCTCGTGTCCAAAATGTAAAATATTTTGGAAAAGGACATATAGTTGTAATATTTAATTTAAAATGTAATATTTGTCCTGTCCCCCTCCCCTTCCTTCCTGCTTGGAGAGATTAGGATTTTTTTACAATTCAAATTACATAGATTAAATAAATATTATTATTGTTCAGATTTATTATGCCCCCTGGAGGAAAAATATGGAAAGAAAATACGATAGGATAGTTAGAAAAGTGGACATTTCGATTGAGAGTTTAGAAAATTTGAATATAGCAGATTTATGATTTCAGAAAAAAAAATTCTAATCAGTTTTACTAATTTATAATTTTAATTTAATTTTAATTAATAATTTTAGTTATTATTTTTTCTTGAAATATTCTTTTGAGAATATTTTGTTTTCGAAATTTGACAAATAATTGTGGAGAGTGGTTTCATTTTGTATGAATTAGATAAAATAATATTAAAAACAAATTTTAAATTGTTTACTGGAAAAAAAAATGATTTCAGGGTTTCTACAACACATGAAAAATCTGAAATACCTGTAATTGCATGGAATTTCCATTTTTAATCATGGAATTTACAATTATTTTCTTTTAAAGTCATAGAATTTTGCAATAAAAAAAAAAAAAAAAAAATTTGTAGAAACCCTGTACTGGATTAAAATGAGCAATTGTATATTATGTGTATAAAGTTTTCATTTATTGTAATAACAAATTTCTAAGTTTTCATTGTTGATTGTTCAACTTTTAATGAAAGAGTTTTCATATTTAATGCGCGTTCAAACATTGAGTTGATGTTTTAAACTTTCTCATCCTGAATTACAATAGAAATGAGAATTAAGGGTGTTTGTTACGCCATGAAATTGTGGAAAAAGTTAATAAATATTTTATTTCTCAAAACTAGGTGAAAGGCATATTTTTTTTTTTGTTATTAAATAACTTTTGTTAGATTTAACGAACGCTTTTAAAATAACGAGCTTCGAACAAGGAATTCTCTCTATTCGAATTCATTTATAAATAACTGTATAGTAAAATTTTGTCAAGTTTTTTGCTTTCTCAATTAGTAATAATAGTTATTATTAGAATTAATGATAATAAATTACTATTAGTGGAAAGAAATTGATTAATTAAAGCTGTTTAATCTTTTTATGACATAACCTGAAATTAAAAAATGGTTTCATTATTATTAAATGAAAACTATAATTAAAATTGATTTAAAAACTTTTTGGAATAAAAATTCTCCTATTTCTCATAAAGTATTTTATTTTTAAAAAATGACTGAAATTTTTTTTAACCTTTTGAATTGCAAACTTCGACAAAATTTTGAATTTATAAATAATTTGCATAAATTAGACTTGAAATTTTTTTTCTTAAAAAAAAGGAGATTTCATAAATTTTTAAAATTTAGTAAAATTAATTTAAATTATAATTTTATTTGATAATAGCAGTAATTTTTAGTTTGAGGTTATGTCAATAAATTTACTGAAATTTCAGTTATTTTCACATAACCTAAAATTCAAAATTTTAAAATGAATTTAATTGGCAGTTATTTAAGGGGAGAGAGTCGTGAAATTTCAAACCTGTCAAAATTAATATTGTTTAAGGGTGTCAATTTTTTTCTGCAATTATTTAGAATCTAAAATTATATATTGTTAACAAATTTAAAAAAAAAATACATTTAAAAATTTTATTTTTGTGGAATAAGTAAAATTTTTAAAACATCTATACGATTGATTGTTGAGAATCGTAAAAAAAAGCTTACAAAAAATTTGAAAATGAAAAATAATAAAAACTGTGGAAAAAATTGAATTTTCAGTTTTGGAAAAATCAGCAATGAAAAATAATAGAAATTATGGGTGAAGTAAAAATTTTAATTTTTCACAAAATTTCGAGTTTTATTTTAAAAATTATTAATGAATTTTTTTTTTTTAATTTTAAATAAAAAATATTGTTAAGAAGATAATTGATACTAAACAATAATAATTTCGCCAATTTCTTCTAACAAAAATTTTTTTTATGAAAATAACTTTTTTTAAAAATATTTATAGAAGTAAATTTTTTAAAATTTGATGAAAATAAATTTTAATTATATATTTAATTGTTAAAAAAACAATTTTTTAGTTTGAGGTTATGTCAATGGGTTGAATTAATTAATATACATAATTTACTAAAATTTCAGTCATCTCAATTATTTTCACATAATCTAAAAATGAATTTGATAATTATTATTTTTTTTTTTTAAACTAATTAATTAGAAATATTAATTTTTTAATGTCTGCACTGAAAAAGAAATTTATTTGATAATATTCAAGTAATCGATTATTTGAAATAAATAAATTTTTTTTTCCGTGTTTATTTTTGCTATTAAATTAGTTATTAAAAAATTCAAATCTAGAGAGAGAAAAATTAAAAATTGAGATAGAGAGGGTTAGAGATAGTAGAAAATAAATTAAAAGCGGATTGAAGGTGAGGTGTGTGACGGTGGTGGTTGTCGTTGGTGACACGTATTTGTGTTGTTAATGATCGCAGGTGGGCCGGCGGCGGCCGCTTCAGGGGGCTACGGGCCCACAGCGGGTACCGGCGGGGCTGCTGGGGGCGGGCCTGGAGGCTCCTGGAATTCCTGGAGTATGCCTCAAAATGGGCCACCTCCAGGATCTCAGCCTCCACCCCAGCCCCATCAGCCCAATTCCTCGCAGCCCAACTCCAACTCGAACCCCTCTGGCCCGCAGGGTGAGTTTTCAAAAGCTCAAAAAAAAAAAAAAAAAAAAAATCAATTTCCTTTTTCCACTTAATTGTGCCAAACCATTCTCCAATTCACTTCTTTTTTTAATTGAAAAGAAAAGAAAAATAACTAAAAATTCAAGAAAGACACAATTAATCTTCATCGCGAAACAAAACACTTTTTTTTTTTTTAATGACAATTCTTGGAACCCTTTATTTGGTAATGATATTATATTAATTAATGTTATTGTATACGCTTACATTTTTTTCCCCCCTCAATGTTCTAGAATATCACTTAATTTTTATAAGCACAATTCAGTTTTACACTCTTCCTTGGGTTAAACGCACTTAGATGAAAAAAAAGAAGGTTTTTTTTTCCCCTGCTTTTGAAGATATTTTTTGCAAAAATTTGTGTCTTCACTGAAAAATAATATTGATCTCTTTTTTATATTCTATATATAAATATTATGATAAATGTGCTGCTATATTTTCAGTTCCTTTAAGTCGATCATTCTTTTAATGTTTAATAATTAAAAAGAAAATTAGGATTCGGATTAGAATTTTTTTTTTTTTTATTTAGTATTAACAAATAATAGTAGCAAGCCTTATATAAATGTTAAAATTATTAAAATGTGCACGATTTTTTTTTAACATTTTAAAATATCAAGTTAAATTACTGACTGATAATACTTGAAGATTTTTAATTGATGTCTTTAATATTTTTTATTATTGTTAATTGGATTTTTTTTTTTTTTACTATATTGACATAAAATGTGCGCTGCATGTTCACTCTGGGTGATTAATTTTTTCATCGTTGTTGTTTTCTTTGTTATGATCGTCTTAAATCTAAGGGACAATTAAAAAAAGGAAAAATATGATCGCGACAAGAAAAATTTTTTGTTAAAACACTTTTTAGTTTGTCTCTCTCTCTCTACCAAGTAAAGGGTTACACGATTAAAATCAGAATTGTAATTTTAATTACAATTGCTTATTCTTTTTTTTCTTATATTGCATTTTTATATTACGTATACATAAACCATGTGAAAAAATTAGTGATTAGCTGTTTTTTTTAGAGTAAAAATTAGGTTTTATTATTTTTTTTCCAAGTAGCAAAAAAACAGATTCAAAATTTACAATTTCGTGTTTTTTTTTTTCTTTAAATTTTGGCACTTTACTCGATTTATTCTTCATTTGAATAGTCGATGGTTTAATGTGTAAATTTTTCGGAAATTACACAAAATTATTTTTACAATGGGAAGCAAAAAAAAATAAAACAATGCAAACTATAGTATTTTCTTTCTGCATCGTGTGCTAGCAAGGCATCTCCTGGGCATGGTATTGGCCATTTACCCACTTTTTTAAAAATAAATTTTGTATCTATAAAAGTAGTTGTCAGTTTTTTTAGAATATCATTAGAATGCATTTTGATTTAGAAATTGTAAAGTGGGTTAGTTACACTTTTCTTATTCGATGTCAATTTTATAAATTTTTATATTACTGTTATTATTATTATTATTATTATTATTATTATTATTATTATTATTATTATTATTATTAATACTATTATTTTTTTATGAATATTATTATTAACTATTATTATTAATAATATTTTTATAATAATTATAATTACAATCATTATCAATATTATTAATTATATTATTATTATAATATAAAAATCGTGAAAAATTAAATGATCATTAATTAGCTGCTAGTGTAGGTTAGTGCACTCCTATTCAAATCCTTTACGCTTCCCTTCCTTTTTCCATTTGCAAAAAAAAAAGAGGACATGACGAATTAATGTAAATAAAAAATTTAGATACGATTTGGAAACAAAATTTTAGTAATTTTTGTCTCCTCTTTATCTATTTTTATTGCCCTAATAATTTTTTTTTTTTAATATTACCAATTTGCTTTTGTTCATATATACAAAATGATAATTATTTTTCGGATTGCTAAAAAAAATTTTTCTTTAAATTCAATTTTTTCTTTGAATATAAAGAAAATAATTGTAACTAAAAATTTTTTAATGTTCCGAAATATAATGATCATTCTGTAATGTACATACATTTATGCATATTTAACATATGTACATTTCATGTGCAAAAAAAAGACTCGAATTAAAATGTAGGGTGAATATTTGATTTAAAATCATTCATTTTTATTGATTTAAAAATAGGTGTAAGTATATTATCGTTTTTTTAAAAAAAATATATATATATATGTGATTGAAATATAATGAAAACGTTTATATTAAATCATTTTTTTTTAGATAATATTGTTAATATACCAAAATATTTCATTTAACAAATCGATAATGAATAATAATAAATGGGACAAGCCCTTTCGTACATAAGTACGTGTCAAATATTAATTTTTTTTTATTATTAATATTTATATTTTAAAGAAAACAAAACTCATTTTATTCAATTATTTTAATTTTATAAATGAAAAAAATGAAACTTTTTTTTTATTAATACACTGGCAAAAACAAAAGAGGGAAATAAATTTAAAAAGAAAGCTTTTTATATAATTTTAAATCATTTTAAATTTTTAGTTTTTTTTTCTTTTTTTTTAATAAAGCGATTAGATTGTATCTGCAGATGATAAAATGTTTACAAATTTTATGACATTTTATAAAAAAAAAATTTTTTTTTTTAACAATAATTCGTCATGTTGTATCTAAAATTATATATAATTAAGTTTTCGCTTGCTTGTTATGTGCCTGTAACCCGTTCGTATTTCACGTACTTTTTTTTTTTATTAGCTTCGATTTTATAAGTTTGCTGTTCAAAATCACATTTACACGAAAAAATGTTTTTTTTTTTTTTTATTTATTGGAACAACTAGGTAATGAAATAATAAATTTAGGCCCATTTGGGAAATTTTAATTTGAAAACTTGATTTTTTCTTCTGATCACAAAAGATATGATTTGAAAAAATATATTTGTATTTTTTGATATATAAAAAATTAATTGAATTAAACCTGGTTGATCCAAAATATTTACCGTGTGTAAAAAAATTTTTTTAAAAAATCCTTGTCAAAAATTAGGGTTTAGAGCAATTTTTAATTTTATGAAAAATGAATATTTAGACACAATAATTAATTAGATATTTAAAAAAAAATAAGGAAAAATCGAACGGACAGTCAAAAAAAAAGTTATTTCACATTTTTGTATTTTTAATTGAAAAAACAAATAATAATAATAATTTTTACTTGAAGTCATTAAAATTTTAGAAGAGGATTAAAATCTTTTTACAGTAAGCACAAACGATTGATAATTTTTTTTTTTTTAATAGTAGAGAACAGGACTAATAAAAATGATTTTTTGAAAATTATATTTTTTTATTGAAATATGATTTTTTTTTTTGACTAAAATCAATTTTTTTTTACAATTAACGTTTCGAAACTGGATTTTGTTCTTTCTTCAAAATTTTATTGTGTCGATATTGTAATTGACGTTTTTTATCATGTTTGTTTAAAAAATTTTGTAAATTTTGAAAATTCAAGGTTATGTTCGCTACATAGTATATTATAATATTTTTTAGTTAAAACTTTTTTGAGTTGTTCAAATGTATGTTATTTTTTACAAAAGTTAACTTTCAAAAAAAATTTAAAATTTCAATTAATTGTGATAATAAATAATAATAAAATGTCATGATTAAAAGCAAAAATTTGTCTCGAATCTCGATTGGAAACAAAAAATAAAAATTATTTAAAACAAGATTTTGATTTCACATAATTTTTTCAGAAAAGTGGTAAAACTATATATCTTTCAAAAATTGATTGAAATTTATTTTTTAAATATTCTAATATTTATTTTTAAAAAACGAATTTCTAGTTTAAGGTTATGTTATGGTCAATATTTTCCTTAAAAAAAAAAGTTGATTTAAATAATTGATGGTTGAAATTGTTAAAAGTTAAATTTACACTAAAACACTTTTTTAATTAGAAATTATATTTTATCAAAAACTACTAAAATGATAACATTATTATATGAATTAATAATAAATAAATAATACCTCAATAAAAATGGAAAACGAATGTAAAAAAAAAAAAATTATTATACCAAAATAGTTGGATTAATTTTTGTTTTGATTTGTCTGATTCTAAATATAAACAAAAACAGCTCTAAATTTTGATACGAATTTTTACAAAATTTTATTAATATAGAAACATTTTTCTTATTGTGATTATTTAAAAATAATGAAGCTTTAATCTTAAATCAACATACATACACTTATTGCATTTAAAAAAAATAATAATAATTCCTGCAAAAAAAAAAAAAAAAAAATGTAAATTAGAGGAAAAGTAATAAGTGATGGAGAATTAGGTAAATTAGGTGGAAAAAGTAAAATAATGAAAATTGATAATAAATTATTGGCGAATTGTTTCAGGTGATATGTACTCGAGACAAACAACAGGATCAGGAGCTCCTGGTTCAAGTAGCAGTTCAGCTAAGACTCCGGATTACAGTGGGTATTCCGGTTATGGAAGTTATGCGGAAACAAGTTATCCACAACGTTCTTATCAAGGCGGAGAAAGCAACCAAGGTGGGTATGCCGCCAGCGCTCCTAAACCCGGCCAACAAGGCTTTGATTTCAAAGAGTGGCCCACCTCATGACCATTTTAATTTGTTCGCGACAGAGTGATGCGCTAAATATCGACTTGACCATTGCACGCGTGAAATTTAAATTCTCATCACATGAATTGAACACACAGATGAAATTTTTTTCCAAAAATTGAATTAAAAAAAAAAAAAAGAATGAAAAAAAAAATACTAGTTGTGCTCTTTAATTTAATATTTTTTTGTTTTATCAGAAGCAAACTTTTTTTCCCGATCGATTCATTTAAGAGCAAAAAAAAATTGATTTTCCAAATATCTTTTTAAAAAGATGAGACATTCATGTGTGAAATTTTTATTCACGTTGCATTGGTTTAAGAACAAGAAGTAAAATTGAAATAACAAGCGATTAAGAAGGTTAAAAAAAAAAACAAAACAAATAGATAAGTTGTAACGAGCGAGCGTAAATCGTCGACAATGTCACTGAAGCGGCAATTAATGAGGTGAACGAATAAAAAAAAATATTTTCTCTTCATTTTTTTTTTTTTTTAAAAGGCACAAATTTTTCTCAGTTCCTTCACCTCCACCGCAGATGTGGTAGGATATAAAATATGTCTGTAATAAGTATATAGTTAAAAAAAAAAAAAAAAAAAAAAAATGAAAACAAAGGTCGCATCATCGAAACAACTTTCCCTCTACAATCAAGATTATTATTAATATTATTTTAGATAGATCGTAAAAAAAAAGAAATTGATTAAAATGAAACTGATTAAAAATAAGTAACTCTTAGGTTTTTAAACTATATAGATAGAATCGATTTATTATTAATAATATTAATGTTGTGTATGTGACATTGACAGCAGGACGTAAGGTTCCTCCGTGATCTTTTTTATAATATAGTATTTTACATCCTGGCAATTTTTTTTAAATCTTTTTTTTATTTTTTTTTTGATAAAAATTTTCCTTTTTTTATCGGAGATATCCAATTTTTTTTTGTCTATTTAAAGAATTGTATAGTATTCTTAATTCGTCGTTCGATTTTTTTTTCCTTTTTTTTTTTTTTGACTGATCGTATCGATTTTGTCGTTCTTTTTTTTCGAGAACTGATGTTATTATAATTTTACCTTGGAATTTATATTATAGTTATTAGAAATATTTAAGACGACGATTGTTATTATTTATATACCTCGACTAAAAAAAAAAAAAAAAAAATTACTATAGTACTACTGCTACTGTTACTATTACTATTTACTATTACTACAACCAACACCACACTGCTAACACGTATTTTTTCCACAAGATTGTTATTATTCTTCCACAAAATATATAAGAAATTTGTAAGATCCTTGACATATTTTACGAAGTTTAGATATTGCTAGATAATGAATTCAGGATAATATTACAAAAAAAAAATGTGATTGTATTGTAATTCGATGATGGTAGAGGAAAAGTGGAAAAAAATTTTTTTTTTGGAAAGTTTCGAATGCGATCATTTTTGTATTTTCAGGGGCGGGAGGTGGGGGGTACGCATCTGAAAAGTCTACCTGATTAAATGTATGGCTTAATTATATATTTACTCTATAGGAATTACTACTACTCTGTAGACCTTAATAAAAAAAAAAAAATAATAAAATTTTTTAATAGAGCGCTCTCCTACGCTCACGTTTATTACTTAATCGAGCCGCGTTTACGCGCTCCTTTTTTTTAAAGCTTATTTTTTTTTTTTTTCAATTGAAGTCTAGATCTGGAGTCAATTTTTTTTTTATATATATATATATAATTTCAAAACTCTTTATATTAAAGAGATCGGATTTTAGGTAGAGAATTTATTTTTTTTCTATTCTTTATTTTTTAAAAAAAAAAGTTCTTTACTATTAAAAAACTATATTTATAATAATATTTTAAAATAATAGTATTTAGTGCAAAACAATGTAAGTTAGAAAAAATCAGATTTTTATCTAGTTATTAAGATTTCAGATTTGGTCTTCGATTTGTAATTATGAAAAAAAAAGAAAGCAATTTGAAAATACGCGGCTCGTGATGAATTTAAATAAATCTGGGATCAATAAATATAAAAAAATATAATTTCAAAATAGGGAGCTCAATCAAGTCGCCAATATTTAATTTTTGTAACATAATGACACAACACAAAAAAAAAAATAAACACTTATTCACTTAAGCTGCGTCGCAAAAAACTTGATTTTTTTTTATCAAGATTTTAAGATATAGAAGACGCATTAAATTAAAAAAAGGATATCCAGGTTAGATGTACTATGTACGATTTACGATTTATCATTACTATTGTTCTTAAATCTTCGAATAAAAATAAAATAATTAAAAAAAAACTAAAGAAGTCTATAAATGAAAAATAAACATTCGAATTAAGTAAAAAATAAATTTAATATCTAATAGAAACATTCTCAAAGAAATAAATCATTGTAAATAGAATCGTTTAAGGGGTTCGCGAGGAAAAAAAAAACAAAGATTATTAATTATTATGACGCGTCATAAATGTCGATTGATAAGTAAAAAAAGTGACCAATGACCCGAATAGTGAAGGAAAAAAAAATATAAGAACTATTTAAAATATAATTAATTGACGAGTACTGATTCTAATGAATAGTATATTTATATTTAATGAGATATTATTAATATTTTTTCAAATACAAAGATAATGAAGTGGAAGAGGAAAAATGACTTATTACAATGTAAGTTAGGAATTTTCTTTTTTTTTTTTTTTTTTTAATTCTAATCGTTATTAATATAATAATATAAACTGTCCGAGGCACGTTCAAAAATGTAACGTCGCCTTTACTCTCAGGGTTGTTGCTAATTTTTAAATCTTCCCTTTTTAAGTCATAGCCTCTATTTTTTTTTTTGTAGTTTTGTACTGAAATTCTAAAAATTTAACAATTTCTTTTTTATATACTTTTTTTTCTGAAAATTTGATTTAGTAATTTAGTTGTTCCTATATCATACGGAGAGATTTTTTTTTTTTAAATTGAATTTTTCTCTCCTTTTTTCCCCGCGTTGACTAATGTTTAGGGTTAAACATTTGTAAAAAGGAACATAAAAAAGAATCTTAGAATAAAGAACAGAAAAGTAAAAGTTAAGATGGATAAAAAGTAAAAAAAAAAAAAAAAAAAAAGAGCATTGAAAACCTTTTTTTAATCTTAGTTGATACGTACATAAAATGCAATCGTAATATAGTAACAACGCGAAAGAGTTTTTTATATTAAACTGATATCTATTTAAATGAAGTTAATATACATATTATTAAATTTGGGAACTACGGTTGACCCGCCCAACAAAAAAAAAAAATAAAAGACTGGTTATATAACTAATTGCTGTAAAATTTAAAAATATTTTTTACGCGTATCTTTAAAAAAAATAGCGTCGTCCAATCTGTTTTTCATTAGAGACACAAGTTTCGCCTATTAGTGTAATTTTGCATCTATTGCTACTTTTATTATTAATTATTATTATTATTGTTGTTGTAGCACTCGTTTAAAACACCAAAAGTTAGGTCCAATTTTGCCCGTTTCTTTTTTTTTTTTTTTGTTATATTTTAAATATATATATATAGTTACATTATTATATATATAATATAGAAAATACGTAGATTGCCTAGTAACAAGAATTTAATTTTGAGCTTCAATTTTTTTTTTTAAGTTATACACAATATATATTTATATATAAAGATAATTTTTAATTGCTCATTCCGTTATTTTTAAGAAAAGCATTTCAGTGACGATGATTTTTTTTTTCACTACTGAACAAAGGGGGAAAAAAAAAAAAAATGTTCTATAATTAGATTATAAGACAAGGAAGAAAAATTCTAAACTTTAAATAAGGAAAAATAAACTTATTTTAAGATTCAAAATAAAAAATTCTAATTTAGAGAAAGGAAAATATTTTGTTTTCTTGTATGGGAAAGGAACGGACAAGAAGGTTTAAAACTTGTTTTTTTTTTTAAGTAAAATTAATCCTCGCCTGTAAAAAAAAAAAAAGAAATTTACACAAAACACAGATTACACAAAAGAAAAACTGACAAAAAATTAAATTGGCAAAATTTCAGAATGAGTTTGAAAAAAAGATTTTCAAAATTTCGGTTCTTTTTCTGAATTAAAAAAAGAAAAAAATCTTTTTTTTTTATTTTTTTAAAAAATACTTGCATGGACGAGTTGTTATATATGGCATCTAATATGTAAGATCATAATAAAAGTGATTGATCGGCTCCCAAGATGCTTTAGCTCGAAAGATTAAGGTAATAAACGTTACATCGGTAAAGATAATAATAAAAAAAAAAATAAATAAAATTACTGTAATAATTGTCCTGTATACTTGTAACTTTTAGATTTGTATTGGTAAGATCGTACCCCCTTTTTTTCTTAGTTTTTTTTTTCTTTTTTTTTGTGATGAAATAGACACTAGGGAGTAGAAATGAAAAAAAAAAAATTTGTGCATTACACAAATTAATATATTTAAGAATCTGTTTTACGCTCGCTCAGTTCCTATTAATAATCAATTGTCTTCATGTCTCAAAAACATAATTTTGAATATTGATTCTCTGACTTCGAAAAAAAAAAAAAAAAAAAAAAAAAAAAAAAAAAATTGTTGCGCGCATGTGAAAGAAAATGGACAGAAAATGAAAACGAAAATTAATACAAAAAAAAGGAAATTGAAAATAATGAGAAAAGAAAAATAAATTCCAAGTCAGATTAACTTTTATTCATTTTATGAATCAAGTCGATGTGCATTAGCTCTTTGAAAAATAAAAATGAAAAAGGGAGAGGAATAATAATCACGTGTGAAATTTATATTAAAAAAAAAAAAAAGAAAAAAAAAACAATGTCAGAATGACGTTATATACACGTTATTTAAAATTATGAATGAAAATTATTATATAAACGTATACATAAAAAAAAAAAACACTTAACACAAAACATTCTATTCATCGTTACATATACTACTCAACCTGTCTTAACC